AATAAACATTTATACATTACAGTGAGACACCAACACCGTTTCGGCTTTAATATGTGGGTTGCAATATTTGGTACACGAATTATTGGTCCTTCTATTTACTATGAAACACAGACTTCCGAAAGTTATAGAAATTTGCTTGAGAATCATCTTGAGGAAGCTCTGGATGATTTACCGATTGCGGAAGTTCAGAACTGTTAGTTTCAACAAGATGGCGCGCCGGTACATAATTCCAGAGAAGTCCGTGCGTTTTTATCCAGAAAAATGGATTGGTACTCATTCTACAGTCCCTTGGCCGGCGCGGTCACCTGATTTGACACAGCTGGATTTTTTCTTAGGGAATATATCAAACTTTGTATACGCAAATAACTTTGATGATGAAGAAGAACTAAGGGACAGTGTCTTCAAAGCATTCAATAGAATAACCCCAGAAATGCTTAGCAATGTCTTAGAAGCAACTGTGAGAAGAGGATATCTTTGTTCAGAAAATAATGGTTATCATTTTGAACATTTGTTATGAATGTCTGTAGGTATTGTCAAAGTTGAGTTGTTAAAGTAATTCGTGTAAGAATTCATCAACAATTTTAAGCCCTGCATTAATCGAATGATGTAGTGAAATATTTGTTATTCACTTTTCAGTAGGTATTGAATAACTAATTCATCAAGTAGTCACTGTATGATCAGAAATGAGTGGAACTGATGGCTTTTTTCCTTTGAAAGTTCGAAAAAACATTGATGATGGATAGAAATAGGTCGAAACACATTCAAATCACCTTGTATAATACAATAAGAAAAACAGTGCGCGAAATACCCACTTCACGCATTGCTATGTAAAATACAGGGTGTTCCTTAAAGACATGCTAATATTTAAGGGGGTGATTCTTTGACTCGTTTTGAGATAAAAACTTCATATCAAATGTATGTCTTAACTTTCGAGATACAGGGGGATAAAGTTTTGAAAAATAATCAGTTTTTTTAATAATAACTGAGATAATACTGTAGACATCTTTACCAAATTTGATACATGTCTTCTATGCATCAAGGTGGATTTTCTGATGTGCACAAATTTTCATTTTCTCTACCAGTGGCGCCGTTTGGGGAATATTATTGTTTATATTTCACTTGAAAGTGAGCAACGAAGGAAAATTTCCAAATTCAATACGATCCTATGGAAGGCCATTTAATTCTGTACAAAAAAGTTCTTCTTGTTGATACTCGATAGAACCAGGGCCTACTCTATCTTACCGGGCCGGAGCATCGCTTTCGTGACGTCACACTAGTAGGGACAAAATCAAGGCAGTGGAAATTGTCTCTCCCGTTTAATTGTTTTACCTCGGGAAAACGGTCACAGTTAGCGAAAAATATCAAGAGGTCAAATATGTACAGAAAAGAATTTTCCAGAAGATGAATCAAATTTCACTGATTTACGATCATTAATTTCAGAAATATGGCATATCAAAATTAATTGACGCCATTCAGAATTGTCCTTTTTCAAACAGCTACCAAAATTCCAATATTCAATTTACAGAAATGATTCAACCATGAAAAGATTTCGGATAGTATCTAGATTAACTGAGTTTTTTTTTTAAATTCCCAAGGGCCCACAACAAACCGATATATCAATTCAAGTAGAACGATGATTCAGGTGTTCATTACAGAATAGTTCAAAAAGTTCGGACGCCTCCCATGCTAATCCTATCAACTGTGGATATATGCTGTCACTGACTTTTTTGTAGGAAATTTGATTGCCTACAAATCGGTATAATACACATCCACTTTATCTCGAAGGGTTTTAGCAGCGTTTATCTCTAAAGATGATCAGGACGCACTTTGATGACGTTCGAAATCCTATCACTCGAGTGTGTTATTACACAAAAACGCTTATTCGGTATCAATTATTTTCTGCTGAAGAGTATATATTTGAATGATAACGTTAAATTCATGAAAAAAATTTGATTTGAATATATTTGGAAACTATCAAAATTAAAAACAACAAAATATGTGGAGTTCATATGAACACAACCTAACAAAAAATATGTATCTCAACAATGAGAGATATAAAAATGAATATAACGAATTGAATAACAAAATACCCAGAACAACAATATATGAATAAATAAGCAAAAAAAAAACGTTGAATCCTTATACACACACAAAACCAAACAAAATAAACTGTATAAATGATCAACATAACAAAATAAAAAAAATTTATAGATATCACAAAATGAAATACACTAATAACAAAAAATATATATACATCATCTTAATCACAAACTAAATATTGAAATCTGAACTATATCTCATCTTGAAAGTTTAGTGATTTTTCTTTTTTAATTTTTTTTTATTTCGCAATAATTGTTCAACGGAATATTTGAAATGGTTTTAGAATGTTCTGCTGATTAAATCAAAAGACCCACAACTGCAACATCGATTCTCGGAATAATTGAGAAGGGAATTGATTTTAATTTCTGCTATATTCTCCAAAACACATTGTAGAAATATTGTTTCGACACCAATATTAGTTGGTCTGAACCATACGCCATTTAGAAATGAAATAAAATAAAAAGTATATCGCCCTTTACCAGTCCAAGGAATTATACCGCGAAATCGTAATACAGCGAAATTTGGGTAGGTAGGTATAACGGCCCATTTTTTACGCGCTCTTTATATTTAATTTCTTTCGGACTCATTGTAGGTAACTCTACAATTTTTTCACTATTCAATTGATTCATTATCGTAGTTTGATATATTGAGTTGGTTTCATCTTATTCCAATTCCAAATTTTCAAAAACTAGTATTCTGTAGTACAACGTCCTGATTTTCAATAAAATGGAATTTCGTTACAACGCCATAACTCGGTATTGATTCATCCTATTGGATTCATTTTTTCACCAAAAGTTGAGGAATTTGTTGGGGATCATTTCGTCTCGATTGAGTGTACTTCTAAAATTTATAGTAAAGGAGCTATAGCCTATCAATTACCAACGCATCATTACGGACTGATGTGAAATCTCAACCTACTAGTGTGACGTCAGCGTCGAGAGAGAGGGGATAGACTACGGCCCGGTGAGATACAGTAGGCCCTGATAGAACCCTCCGTTTTCGAGATAAAACGAGACCAGACTTCAAATTTCGATGTAAATGCTAAGCTGAGTACTCCATTCAGGACATCAATTACTGGATAACCACAGTATGTAACATTTCGAAATTTATGCACCGTTTCAGTCACATAGCAGAATAAATTTTTTCATGACGAAAAGCTATACAGGGTGGACAAAAAAATAATCTATGCATATTTTCAACATTGGCACCCTGTACCTCAAAAGTTAGGACGTTTCCGACATACGTTCATGTGAAGTTTTATTCTTGAAATTGGTCCAAGAATCGCCCCCTTGAATATTAGCATGTCATTAAGGAACACCCTGTATATGAGATATTTATATTTCAACTTTATGGTCCTCAATCAAGCCATCCACGAAGTCATTTATTTCTGAATGTTCAACAATAACTTTGTTTCATCTCTTGGAGCACACGAAAGGAAATTCCTATTATGTTCGTGGAACATCGTGCGAACCTAAGGAGGATAGGAGGAGGCCTTTTAAGCCAGTTCAACACTATTTTTTATAACAAGCTGAGCATTTTTTTACTTTAGAACCGAGTTTAGAACTATATTTTTACTTTAGAACTATATTTTTTAACATTTGTAGAAAACATGTTATTTGCAACTCGAGCGCGAAATACTTTGGTCATCTCGACTATTCTTTTAACTCGGCTACACCTCGTTGAAAAAATCAGATCTCGATCACCACAGTAGCATTTCGCGCTCTAGATACAAAAATAACTATTATACATGGACAATCAAGCTCTATACGTTTAGTTAAAAATCCCGAATATCATAAACGAACTAATCATAAAATACCACTTCATCAGAGGAGTTCTTGTGATACTCATTTGAGTATGAGTATTACAGATGTTCGAATTGAAGTATAAGAAACACGGTGTATACATGATTGCAAATAGATAGCTATGATAGGTTTATACAGGGTGTTCCATAAAGACATGCTAATATTCAAGAGGGTGATTCTTCAACTCATTTCAAGGAAAAAACTTCCCACTAACGTATATTCTAAAAGTCTTAACTTTTGAGATACAGGGTGATGAAGTTTTGAAAAAAAATCATTTTATTAATAATAACTGGTATAATATTGTAGACATCTTCATGAAATTTGGTACATATTTTCTATGCATCAAGGTGCATTTTTTATGACTACAAATTTTCCTTTTATCTACCAGTGGCGCCGTTAGGGGGGTATGATTGATTATACTATACTTGAAAGTGAGCAACGAAGGCATATTATATATATTATATTAATTTCGTGAGACATCTTCACAGAATCGCTGATATGCAATTTATTGACAAATGAATGACAACCGCCTATTTGGAACATGGATATATGAAAAATAACGCAAAATTTAATCTAGGAAAATAGTATTTTCGCTCTTGAAGAAGTATGCATCAAAAACGAACTGACACATTAAACATGGTCGGCAGATTTTCATAAAATTTTCTCACCACTAAAAATCCAGAAATAGAAAACAAAACATGATAGCACATTATTGTTTTTGCCAAAATAACTGACCAAGAATTCACTTCCATCATTTTGTGTATTCTATAGTTACCCAGTTACCATATACAAACATCAAAATTCACCGACCTTTTACACGGAGATGATGTTGGGGAATATTTTGATGTTAACCTATTGAGAGACTTGAAATTTGTATGGTTACAGGTGTATCCTGTTTACGATATATTCATATTCATAGTGTTTTTCAAATCAGTTCCAATCAATTTTTCTTCCCAACAAAAATGTTATAGTTGACCTTTTGGAAAATGTATATTATAATTGATGCTAGTTAGCCTATAGTTGAAATGTATCCTCTGGAGATATCTTCAAGATTATATTTTCATATAAAAATCTATGCAATATACCCAATTGATATACCTGTTGGGGGTTCCATCATCAGTAAAGCTTGGTGCACTGCTCCTAACCCAGCACCAATTTCAGGATGGTTGGCAGGTGGGTTTCCATGTTGTTGTTCTTGATTCACTGTCTTTGCTTCCTCATCTCCAAGTAAGTAAGAGTGAATATTGAGCATCCAGGAAACTACTTTACACCAATTTCTTACCAAACCTGCAACACCGATGAAAAACTGTGATAGAAAAATCTGATGAGGAAAAAAGAATAACGAATAGATATTTTAAGAAGCAGCAGAGCATAAGGACACATTACATATCGCATGTACCGCAAAGTAGAATGTTTCCAGGTTGGATGGAACGACCTGTATATTATTTGCCTCAAACTTAAGAATGCCAATTAGCGGTTGGCGGTCAGTAATGATGGTCACTTTCCGACCATAGATAAAATTGTAGAATTCACTGGTTGCAAATATTATACTATAGAGTTCTTTCTCAGTCTGTCCGAAGTTTTTTTGATATTCATTAAGACTTTTTGAGGTAAAGTAGATCGGTTTGCCTTCTTGTAGCAGACAACAGCCCTCCCCGTTTTGAGAGGAATCTGCCTGAATGGTTAATGCTTTATTGAAGTCAGAATTTTCAAGAACTGGTGCTGTGATTATTTACTTTTTTTTTGGAAATGACACTTCCATTCTAATATTGTGTTGTCTGATTCTCCTCGTATATTATACTGTTACATTAGCTTGAGTTCAGTAATTAGAATAGATGGATACACAGACTACAGGCAGACTACAGACGTTACAGTGAATATTGATATTTTTAATAAAGCTATTCAAGAAGTTTATCCTACCATCGAAAATAATAATAAAAATTATAGAACTTGAACTAATTTCGGATCATCAACTGAAAAATTAGCTTCATTCCTACAAAAACAAGACTTAAAAGCAGCATATAGAACAAATAACACGTTGACAAGACAAAACTTCTAAATTCGAAAAATCAGGGGTATACAAACTCAACTGTGGATCTTTAGAATGTTGGCCCGCGACACAGGGTTCATCGATGTTCTAAGTCGGTATGCCATTTAAGGGACCCACTCACTTAGTCCAAGTTAACAGGAAGGAGTGCCTCGGAGAGTCGCAACCCAGTCCTTGCCCCGGCCCTGACCTCACCATTCGGTTGGAAAAAAGTTCAAAATTTTGTTTAAGAAGAAGCTCGGCAATGAAATGCAATGATCTTATCTCACGAAAATTGGGGCGCTTGCCGGTTTGCATACGCCTAGGTCACTCCCCAAGGGCGGCATACGAACCGGAAGTGGGAATTTTTCAGTGTTATAGTCGATGATCGAAGAATGTATGCCGTTTGGCGAAACAATGAATTCTGACCCATTAATCAGTTTCCCGACATTTGCATACGATTCCGGAGAGGGGACCTCGACTTATTCGAACATCAATTTACTAGACATCTTTCAAATAATCGATGATTTAAGTTCGTATGCAAATCTCTAGACCGATAAACTAGGATATTCTTAATAACTGGATGCTGTTTGCATACGAATTCAATGTGAGCATACGTTGTAATAATCGGGCAAACCCGCGCGTGCCTCGGTCCGACGCGGCGCCCCGCACTGCAGGCCAGAGGTGCACCGAAAGCGAACTAGATAATCGGGAAGTCTCATAATCTCACTTCACATGAAACCGGGTCAAAGATCAACTCCTTGGGAGTGATGGGGGTATTCGAAGACGCAAATTGCAGATATATTTGTATTTATTTAGAGGGCTTTGAAAAGTTGATAAAAAAATGACAAGATACTCGCAAGATGATCAAGAGGGATCGTACAGGGAGAAGAGGGGTGGATTATTGCTCATGATCAAAACTCACAATAAATCGAATTGAAATTCTTTCCTGGGGCTTATGGGATTGCTTATCATAATACTGGCGTCTGAAAAATATATAAAGAATGTATAGTATGGGGTCTGTATCCTGAACTTTAATCTTCATTTTTGTTTTTCACATAATAAAAAATTATTTGAAAATGAAATTATATTAGATGAAAACAACATTATATTTCGAAGGAAAAATTATACGTCGTCCTCTCTATCATTATCTTCAGAGTAATCTTCGCTCTCGCTGTCTGAAGATGATTCTCCAGAGTTGTCATCAGTACCTGTTAGTAAGAATTTCACTTAATTATCGAAAAATCTTGGCATGATAGAAAGATATACCTGATACTTTCTCAGTTGAAGTTTCAGAGATTATGATACCACCAACCTCTGCTGGAAGAGCTTCACCAAGGTACCAATTGAAATCGTACCCAAAAAAGTATCAAGGGCCCAGCCCCCTTCATTATTTTTAATGTAACTGACATTGACATAACTTCATCAAACCCAGTATAGTTGACTGGCGTTTAGCGATAAGATTCACACGCTGCACTTATTTACAGGGTTACTGGTAATCCGATTCATACCACTGGTAGGGGAGGCAGTAAGAAGTGAATAAATCTGTAATATACATTATACAAAAGTAAATGGTTTTTGAGATATTTAAATATCGGATCTCCGACAAAAGGGAAAAACATTATTGAATGCCTACTAAATCATTCCTACGTGCTACACTCTACCCGGCTGACGCAGCAAATCATTGTTCAGATATAAAAATTGTTTCAGCAAAAAAAAAAGGAAATACTTCAAACCCGGTATTCATATTTCTGGCACAATTTGACAATTTGGCGCATGATCGCTATAAGAGTGCTGCGTGTAAATGATATCGCTAGATGCCTAAGTTACAATGGGAGATATTTATGGTGAAACACCTTGTACGGAATGTGCAAATTGTATGCAAACCATCATCTCATATAAACTGTGTGGTCCACTAACCATTGTCAAAATTTGAACATTTCTTCGATTATCGATTATTTGAAGAATATCCAGTCAAATGATGTTCGAATAAGTCGAGCTCCCCTCTCCGGAATCGTATGCAAATGTCGGTAAACTGATTAATGGGTCCGAATTCATTGTTTCGCCAAAGGGCATACATTCTTCGATCATCGACTATAACACTGGAAATTTCCCACTTCCGGTTCGTATGCCGCCCTTGGGGAGTGACCTAGGCGTATGCAAACCGGCAAGCGCCCCAATTTTCGTGAGATAAGATCATTGCATTTCATTGCCGAGCTTCTTCTTAAACAAAATTTTGAACTTTTTTCCAACCGAAAGGTGAGGTCAGGGCCGGGGCAAGGACTGGGTTGCGACTCTCCGAGGCACTTCTTATTGTTAACTCGGACTGAGTGAGTGGGTCCCTTAAATGGCATACCAACTTAGAACATCGATAAACCCCGTGTCGCGGGCCAACAGTCTACTTGTCCTAAGGTATATATCGGTCAGAGAGGTCGTATAATCAGCGCATTCATGAACATAAGACGAATTTTTTTTTTAAAGAAAACAAGTTCAACATACGCCAACCATATATTAGTTTAACCATAGTTTTGATGATAATTTCGAAATCCTACACGTAGAAAATAAAGGAATGAATCATTATAAATCAACAAACTCAAAAATTCTAACATTTCACTTAACGATCAATAGTTCACCACAGTTGAATTTTTTTCTTTAAAGGTAATAATATGTATTTGCTATTAACCTTTTCAAGTTAATCTGGTTCACCGTATTTTAATGTAAATAGTGTGCCTATTTTCCGAAAATGAAGGTTTATCGTACCTATCCACAGGTAACTCTAATCCTTCAGGTTTGGAAAGTAGATATAAAAGTTAGGCGAGCCAAGGTTAGTTTAGTTCATTGTACCAGTATTTCACCTGATGAAGCTACCATGTGAGCGAAATGTGTCGTGTGATTGAGAATTTTGAGGAAATCTTTTCGTTTTTACACTTAAGAGTTAATATCTGGGTTTGCTATCTGCATAAAAAGTAAGAAAGCATAATTAATATGCTCCTAGGTATTCATTCAAAATACTTATTCTTCTTCATATCAGAGATATTCGTTTTCTAGGTAGGTAGGTAGGTACAATAGCCGCCAATGTTGATTTTTATATAATTCTTTTAACAAACTCAGTCAAACGCAAAGGCTTGCAGAATAAGTAAATATCATTTAATCTCAATATTGGGTGATCTGAAGTGACTATGATACAGGATCACTCAAAAAATTGTTGTATTGTAATTGTATGGATCCTATAATTCGGTTAGGGGATAGCCCGTATTGCCAATGTTTGGTTGATGGGCTGCGAAGCGTATCTAAAAAACCATACGACTTGACAGTAGAAGGATTTGATATTTCGAGCAGTAGATTTACACGGCATTAATAATCATGTAGAGCAGTTTCTTCCACTTCACCTTGCGTAACTTTATGAAATGAGAAATATGGCTGTGACATTATTACATAAAGCTAAAATATCATACCCTACAACCTACAAACATGGATTTTTTGTGTGAAAATGCGGAATCATTAAAGAAGAGAAGTAAACCTTAATACATACAATAGGCACGTGGCCTCATCTCAAAGTGTCACAGTAGCTTCAAATAGGGCCGGTTTCAGAGGTTCACTTCCATCATCCAGTGTCGCTTTGCGTCAACTCAGGAAGACAGTGGGCACACATACGTTGAAATAACGTTGAAATTTGTAAGGTACCAAACGTATATTTTCGGTTAAAATGTCGCGGGAAATAACGTGTTTTTACCCATTAAGTGTCAAAATAACGTTATATCACCTAGTAATACGTTGAGTGGATTGTTATTTATACGTTTTTGAAAAACGTTAGACACATGAACTGGAATGACAACGTCGAAAATTCAACGGTGAATTCCAGTTCAAGTAACTTGAAATTATACCATTCAATGTTAAGACAATGAACGTGTGTCTATTAGGAAGCATATTTTCTCAAATATTCTATTTACTTTGATGTTGTAACAGCATCTAGGATGTACATACTTGGAAAATGGATATGCTGTATGAGACTAATTAATGACTGAGAAAACAGTGAAACTGTAAAACTTCAACGCGGTCACTTTGAAAAACTTCAGGAGTTAATTCCTCACAATTTTCTAATATGAATTGGCCAAATAAGTATATATCCGGAAACGCTTCGTTTCCTAATGTTGAAGTTATATTTTTCAATAAGTGTTACAACTTACAGACACTTCAACACAATGTTCAACTGTCTGATTACCAAAACTGCTTACTTAAACGTCAAATTCATATCCTAAGCAAAATAATGGTAATAACTTTTACCATGCATCGATTATCAAATAATCGACTTGGAATTTTCAAGTCCAAATATCTACAAAACGGTAGCTTATAGATCCTTGTATCAAGGATAGCTTATATACGTAGATATGATAGAGGAACCGACATTTTTTTACTGAAAAATGTGCTAGAAGTTCGCTCAAAGAAGTTATGAATATTAAAAAATAAAAAGACGTGCAGGTGGCGCCCCTACGAGTAAGAGCAATAATAACATCAGATTTGAATTCGACACATCAAAAGACCTCTCAATACCAATTTTCGTTTGATTAACATCTCGAAACGATCGATGGAACTATCAGAGAGAAGTAATGTTCTAAGCACATTTAGAAGGGTATGGAAGAAGATAGAATCATAAAGAATTCAAGGCACGCCAACGCAACTAATACTGGGTGATCTCGAATTTGGGAAAAAAGTTAAATGGATAATAGAAGACGAAAAAACAAAACGAAATAGAATACATTTTTGTCGAAAAAGAAATATTTTGGAAGATATTGAGCTCAAAGTTTGCCTGACACTTTTGTAAATGATTGATCAGAGGTTAATAGCCCAACCCAAGCATTTTCTCTCGGCGAGACCACAAGCACCGGAAGTATCAATGACTTTTTCAACGATGTCGACCATCAATAATAGTTGAGAGATGTAGTCTGGTGGGAGCGCACATTTTTTGGAAAATGTTCAAAACATTTTTTTTGTTATTTCATTTGTCATTATGTCTCGCAGAACATCTCATTTTATTCATTGCTCCAATTTCGGAAACATCTTGTATATATGAACGATCAGCTCGAACAGGACAGTCAGTCAGATCAATCAATGTCAGAGGGACAGTCGTATACCGCATGTTTCAAACCGTTCTACATGAATAGTAGTGATACGTTTGTCATGAATTAGTATTTCTACAAGCTAATTAAATCAGTTCATGAAAAAATAGTGTCAGCATTCACTTCTGCACACGAATAACGTAGCAATATTATACATGGTGACGTGCCTATATTATAGACCATGAGTTCTAGAATGTGCATATTCACACATTTCATTTTTGAACTATAATCATTTGATTTCGATTGTATTGAAATATATTCACGCTTTCACTCTTTATGTAACCTGATTTTGTTACATTGAAGCTTGAGGTCTGATTTCAATTTTCTGTATTATTTCATTCTTATGTAACATATGACTGATGACGGGTAAGTAACTAGGCCCTTAAACATGTTTTCAACTACATTTTCATCGACGGTGCTCTCAACCTTGATATTAAACATATTGTAGCGACGACTCTGTTTTTTTACACTCTATGAATAATGATGCTTTCTGAAGTTAACAGTGGAGATAATAATATATCAAATTCTCGAAAATTCGAGCAATCTCTTTAAGAAAATGAGCTTTAATTCGTTAGATTCGAAAGACGTGAAAATATACAAGGCGTTCGAACAGAAACATCAATGTTATGTTCGAGTTCAGGTAAAAACTTCGCAACTTTGAAATCACATCTGGAAGATCGAGCATATTTGCTCACTAATGATCATAACATTTCAATACTTCTATGTTTTAAATTTCAAATGTATCTAATAGTAACTTTGACAAACCTGTTATGAACATGATTCATATTTCATCTCATAAATGAGTTTTAATAAGTTTTCAAAATAATATTCGAAAATAAATACTCAAGCATTAGTGGATTTAATGAAAAAAAAAAAGAGTTACCTTTCAACCAGATTCTTGTATGCGACTGTTCCAACAAAGCTGGCAAAATAACTTGAAGCAGCAATAGTTCCAATGACAGTTCATTCACCTGTGTGTCATTGTTATTCAGAGACACAGTATAAGGCAGAAAACTAGGCATCACACATTTCAAGATTCTAATGGGCAGCCAGAGCATCAATAAAACCGCGCTACCAAAAATTACCGCTGAAATGAGCAGTTTTTTTATGTGCTCTAATATAGGCAAATGGATCATCTCTTGAATAGGACTGAAGTCAGGATCATTGAAGTTCCTCAAGAACCAAAGTACGCCTGGTCTTAGAATTTCTCGGAGAAGAAGAATAAATGATGCAAAATAATAGACATACACCATCCCGATCAACCAATGGATAAATATCGATGTGCCAGGTGCAGAGCTAAAACTAGTTTCTCTATCTCTCAAACTAGCGTCAAACATAGCCAAAGAGCAGATATCAAGCCACCAACCACATACTAGGGGAATAATTCCAATTTCAACAACGCTGAGCATGGATACTTTGACCACCATATAGCAAAGCCCTAGCACACGTTTTGCCTTATTGAATCCCAGCCAAGCAGCTAACCTGTGCAGAATCATTAACAGGATGCCAACAGTACAATAACCGACCAATGTGGTCAAGAGACCTTCAAAATGACTAGCAGCAGCTGCATCACGCATATTGAAAAGTGACAAGGTCGTGAGACCCATGTGGTAGGGGCAATAAGCAAAGGCTAGTATGAAGAGGGTGTTGAGGGAGATGACCCAAAAGACATGTTCTAAAAACATCAATGAGCCGTCTAGACCAAGGAGACGTTCCCAAGTTATTTCTTCTGCCGCTCGATCCCATTCCATCGGTATCCAATTGTTATCTTCGCCAACATTCGCATCTGCTTCTTGTTGAGGTTCTTGATTTTCTGGCGCTGCCACATCAGGACCTGAAAAGTTGTGTACTTTGAAACAAATATCAAGAAAGCAAAGTTCATATAATATTTACATTTTCAATATCTACTAGATTGCGTCTATAGAGAGATGGGAGTGAGACGCTGAAGTTTTTTCTTTAGTCACGTATTAACTAGACAATCACCAATTGAAGTTATTGATATTTCATATCGAAGCGTCGCACAGAAGTATGAAGGAAACCAAGCGATGAGAAAACAAAAAAAAAGGAAACGAGCAGGAATGATCAGCTCATCTTAGGCAAACGCCTATTCATCTTTATTATGCATGTATGCATCCATATAATTGGTCGTTTCTCTCTCTCATGTTGGCTTCAATGCTCTACACGACAACTCGCGCACTCAAACTTTATATTGTGAAACTTGTACAAGGTGGTCCGCCGGAAACTTTCCACCCTACTGGAAGTTGAACACCTCAAGTAGATGTAGTACCAACTTTAGATTTCCAAGTGTAACATCCTGTATAGTCAAAAATAGGAGGAGGCTTTAATTCCACAATTTCAAGCTTCCTTCTTTTCTTGAAATTTAACCACTCCATTATAAGCAAAAATATATTTCTCAAAATTTACCCTGTACTTCTATTATTCGATATCCACAGTATCAATGAACATTGTGAACAACTATGGATACCTACAAATTAAAATAAATAATTTCTAGTTTGCAATTGGAATTGTGAGTACTTGCATGACGTTATTAGATCCTATATTCATAACGAACAAAAAAATTCTTTAGTAATTGGACTGTGAAACATGCATGCTTTGTTTCTGATCACTGCCTGGTATTTACTGAAGTTCATACTGATTGTACCAAACAAAAACTAAAAATTCATACATATAGATATTTCAAGAGCTTTGATTATTTATTATCAGTTTCGTACAGAGTTGGTAAGAGCACCTTTTCATGATATATATACAATCGATGATATCGATAATCAAGTTGACAAAAGCTCCTGCTCAACCAGCCCAACTTTTTTTCGATTACCACAAACATAATTGTTCTCTTGATTCCGAACTTTGATTCAGACGTTTGAAATTTACGTGAAACGTCAAAATACGCATCACGCAAGTGACAGTCAAAGGTGTCAAGATAGTGAACTCCAAAATCGTGTTGTTATGAGTTTAGAATCCAAATGGACGATATTTATTACTTTCGGTCACATTTTTAGGGTTGATATGATGATTCATTATCACATGTGGTAGGCGAAAGAGATTGTTTTGTACTCCCAAACTGATTTACTCGAATAGACATTAGTTCAGTCAATCAATCAGGAAACTTCTCACAGAGTCGTTGTTCTTATCACGGTTCAACTATGGTGATACAAAATTTCTGTTGTAGAATGGGCTACACTTCAACAAATTAAGATCATGTATCTAGCAAAATCACAGAGAATTAATAATCGAACTAATAATTTTTGAAGCTTTGTGAATGAAGTTTCAAATTCCAAAACTCCTTCGTCACTATTGAATAAACTGTTTCCTAGGCATATGCTTCATTCTTTGGATGTAAGAACAAAAATAAAATTTCATGTTCCTCGCCATAAAACGGCATTGTTCACTTATCCCACCGTCAAATTCTACAGCTCACTATTAATCTTGTATGCGATTTTAGAGAACAAAATAAGAATCATCCTGAAGAAACGCTTCCAACTAGCATGAACTTGAATGCTTTTTCTTGAATTTTACTTCAGCCTTTACTCACCTTGTCACATTATTTCATCTAGGTACCTACCTACCCATGTTATAAATTATTTTTATGCGCTACGTTTATACATCTTCTCTTTCTTTACATTATTCATTCTAGTCGACTTTAATTATACATCTTAGGTTAAGTGTAAGAGTACCATCTGGCTAAACTGCGCCAATTTTGTACCATTACCAATGAAGACGATTAGTTATTATTATTATAGCCGGTTAGGAACTATCCTTAAATTTCAAGCAATATTGGGTTCGATGGAGATGAAGCAACAACTATGAAGATAGGGGCGAAGGGCGGAAAACTCTATTTGCCCAATGAGTGTAACAGAAAAAATACCTTGAAAATGTGCACCACACGACAATCTTTTTTATTTTATTCTACCACAAAGGAGAATCTTGGGGCGACGAGTTTTTTTATACTTTTTTTCGAGTAGGTGGAGAAGTGTGGGTCCTATAGCTTATAATGTACTTACGAAAAATTGTTAGGTGGACTACTTTGTCTATCCAACAGTTAATGAATATACATACCTGGTTCTTGTGCTTGAACAGCATCTTCCACTTCCTCTCTCATTTCTTCCGGTATGTTATCAAGCACTCTAGGTGGTTCTTCACCTTGCACATTGTCTCTTTGCAACCAGTCAGGTCCACCCCCATGTAAAATTTGTTCACGTAACCAAACTAGCCCCGCAAAAGCAAATAAAGTACAAGTTACAACAAAACAACCTTGAAATACGTCAGAGGCTAAATTTTCAGTGGACAACATATCAAAGGGCATAGTCAGCATGGCCTCCACAGTTCCAGCAAATAGAGCCCTAAAAGTGAAAGTGTAAAATAACCGGTCTAGAATTGGAAGTGACATGGGTTTCGAATGTTGAAAACGCGGATGCAGTGGTCTCGTCAAGAACAGTGATCACCGATGTGCTAGATGTGTGTTCAGGCGCTTAATAGCAAACCTATTTAGGACCTTGAACTTTATGAAAATTTATGAAAATAGCATAACCATTGTTGCCACTTTCCCCAGTTCTTTGAATCTCCCATCAAGTTCTCCATTTCGAATAGGACCCCTTATTAGGTTAGAAATCATCATCACCTTTTTTGTAGTTTTGGGTCCAAGGTACCCAAATTAATTTTTCTAGGTCTTTTCTCAATCTCATTGTTGAAAACATGTGCCTTAGAATGAACTTCTGATGAACTAAGAAAGGTTAATATGTTTCAAGGTAAAAGGAGGCATTACTAGTGTCCCTCATATCAAGTTTTCATTGGATTATATCAATCACTTCAAAAGTTGTTCAAGAAAAACCGATTTCCAGCGGTAGAAAATATTTTTATGGGAACTTGTCATCTTATTTTTTCCGGTTCTATCTGAATCCAAGAGATTGCTGAAAACGAAGATTATGACAATAATGGCGGTGTTATTTATATTAACTGACAATGTAATTGATTTCTGAACAATCTGATCAACGGTTCCTGAGATCAATTCTATAATTCTTACTGAGCCTGCATACGATAATTGAACTTTGAAAATGTTTATTTCAATTCAAAAGTTCGCGATTTGAACATTCGTAACTCGTTACACTTCCCTCCGGATTTAGCGACATAAAAATAGCTACCAAAGCCAACTGCTGAATTTTTGAAGATTGTAGATTTTTCAATGTTCTGGTTCCCACGAAAAGGGATATCCTGTAATGTTCAGATATCATCGTGAGAACCAAGGGAAATAAGGTAGGAATTGGTGTTCTTGATAGACAATCGGTGTCACCCTTTTTGTGCAAGGGTTTCACAATTGCTAATTTCGAAGCCTCTGGAAAAGTTCCCTCCTCGAAAGATTTGTTTGCTATGAAAGTCAAAATATCAGATATTTCATGTACACATGCTTTTAGAACATGGATCGGAACCTCGTCGAATCCCGTGCTTTTTTTATTTTTCATATTCATAATTACCGTTACAACTTCTTCTGGTGGTACAGGATTCAGGAAGTAATCAAAATTATGAAATTTCATCAGTCTTTATACTCGTTTTCTCTACAAGCACTTGTTTGCAACGATGAAACGAGCGACGCATTATTCACAAAACAATTACCTATTGAATTGTTCTGCCTTATTATATGGGTTGTTTGTTTGAAAATGATTGTGATTATTTGGCTGTACTATTTCATTTACTGACTGCCACATGGCTTTCATTTTGTTGTCCGAGTGATTCAGTTTATTTATGTAATGCTGTCTTATGACGTATTCCATAGATTATTGTAACCAATTCTTGTTTTATTGTATATATCTTCGTATTTTGAATCTAAATTTGATAGGCTCTGAAATAGTACTAGCTGATCTTTCATATTTTTAATTTCTTCCGATTCAAAAGTGGCTCCTGTGACACCCCTGATGATTCGGCGTTTTATCTTGCAGAAGTTTGTGTCGAAATAGTAAAAGAAAATCCTCATAAAACATGAATACATTTCATCTATGCTCTGAGAAAGGTATACATCTTCCCATGTTTCTTTCTTCATTCGACGGCAGAAATTAACCACACTTTCATTACTAAAAAATCGCTGTTCCTTGAAATTGTTTTTTGTTTTGTGTTTTTTTACATCACCTTTCAAAATTTGCCCCAGATGATCAGAGATTCCAGTAGGAATGACAATACCACCTTTATAGTTTGTAAGTATATTATCCAAACAAGTACTAGAAGTTGGTGTTATTCTAGTAGCATCAAAGATTGTTAGCTCGGTACCAAAACTGTCTAAAATATTCATGAAATCTACACAATCTTTGCTCTTTTTGTTTCTAGTATCAATGTTGAAGTCTCCTGCTACAAAATAGATCAGATTCAATTCGTGCAACAGACTGAGAAGATTTTGTAACTTATCAAAAAAATACTTTTATTTCTGACTGGTATATTATAAGCTTATATCATCTTAGTTACACTATTAATTAGGAGGGTCATAACTCCCTTGGGATGTTATAGATGCTATAATTCCCTCTAGCTGAAATTAAATAAGAAATGCATAGCAACAACCACGCAATAACGTAGCAATAAGGAATCTCCTATTCGCTGTAGTCAAGATCATTATCTGACGTTCTGATGACATTGAAACTATACGGAAAAACATGTCTAACTTCCAATCGGGAAGGTATCTAATGAATGAAATCAGTCAGAAATAAAATTATCTATGTATCACGGGAATTATAGAGCCTTAATAACCTCTGGCAATGGGCGTGTACACCTTAGTAGAACTTTTAACTCAAACCATGTTTATAATGATCCTTTTATACATAAATAATGATTGACAACATAATTCGATCGAAAAATTAACTGGAATGTTTTATTTCTGGACATAAATAATAGTACCTTCTGAAAACGGACCCTGCTCTTATGACGTAGAAACCTCATCTCGCCATAGTTGAAAGAAAATACCAAACGCCCGACGGAGAGTGAAACAACTGATATTAATTCTTTCAACTGTGATATCGTGCTAATTCACTCTGTCAGAAATCATGTATCATTCATCTCTGTCTGGAATAGTCTTGTTTCAGTATTAGGGTTTTGACGTCACATCATCGCCTCGTTTTCAGAGGTCCGAAAAATCGGGGATTTCAATAATTTTTTATTAAACGTAGGGAGCTCACAGCAAGAAACGGTTTGCGGTGGTGAGCTAGTTTGGGTGAGTTCTATCGAATTATGAAATAAAATTTTTTTGTGATATAAGCCCATTGCTGTCCCTCGGGCCAGAGGCCCTCGGGACGCAAACTTTGCCATCGGTAATTAAGGCCCTCATAATTCCCTTAATACATAAATAACTATAATATCACTGACAGGTGACCTGTAGATAGATTTACTATGAAGTTTCACACTAGAACACTCAAACACCCTTTCCTCAGCAAGTGAGCTGATTTCTTCAATTTGAATGCTCCTGAGTTCCTTTGATACATACACGGCGCTACCTCCATGTAGGCCCTCACCTCTGCAATAGCTGGAGGCAAGTGTGTAGTTGGAGATGGTCAAATAGTTGATATTTGTGCTTGTTTGCCAGTGTTCAGTTATACATATGACATAACTGTTAAGTTCTGCAGCCCATTCTTGAACTTTATTCAAGCAGTTACCAAAGGATTGAACGTTTTGATGGAATTGTATGTTTAGCGTCTTTCTTGTATGTAACTGTCTGCCATGGCTGTTCAGGTGATTTCAAGTTGTCATCGGCCAAATTAATATACTAATAACATATCCTTTCGGTTTGCACCTTCATTATTTCCAAACTGGCATTTTTGTTTCGGATAACTGGTTCACCCTGTATGTTGGAAACATCTTTGGATGATTTATTTTTAGTGTCTTGAGTCGATAGCTTATTTGGTGATTTTTTGTTATAATTAAAGTGAGGATTATTGCTTATCTGATGTTTTTCTGGAGGGTCCTTTTTTGTGGTGTGCACTTGCTGTGAAACTTGACGACCTTGGTTATTTGATGTTGTTGGATATAGCGTTTTCAAATGATGATTAGATGATAATTTTTGTTCTAAAAATGATATTTTCTCATGCAAAAGATCTATTATGCATTGCTTGTCACTAATAATAACATCTTTGCTCACGATCAGTTGTCTCAACAATTTGATTTCCTCAGTATCTGATTGTTTATGGTCCGATTTATCCAAGGTTAGCACCACATCATCACTTATTTCCACTATATTTTCAAGAATTTTTTGATCACAATTTTTTACTCGCTGGGCACAACTGTTATGATAGGATGACTCACACTTTGCACAATTCATTCCCTTGGATGCATTTTTCTTGCAATATTTACAGATTCTCTTCAGTTTATCCGAATTACTATTCTCGTCGGCCGCCATGATTGTACCAATTCAACATGACCCTTCAATAGTAGTAAAAATTGGTTTATCAATTATAACTTGGCAACGCCACAACCAAATTCATTTTTTTTACAGCAATGTAGAGCTCAACCTCAGCGAAATAAATTTCTTATAAAAAAACTGGGTGTTTTATTTAAAAAAAACTCGTCTCCGAGTCGCCCCGCTTTTATATATCACCCAGTATTGTTGAAAATATTTTTGAAATGGGAACCTTCAACAACGGAAGGAAATTGTTTTCAAAGTTTTTCTCTAGTGATAATGGATTTCGAGATATCGAAGAATTAAGCACTAAATGGACATACTGTACAAATAGGAAAAATGGTGGACAAGTGAAAAGGAAAAATTTTCTAATCGAACTGGGAGAGAAAATGATTGGAAAATATTGTAAATCAGATCCAACAGCTCAACGAAGTTCATGAACCCAAATGCCATGTAAATACATTGAGTGACATTTTCCAGCAATTATTCCTTCGACTACAAAGGCGAAACCAACAAAACGGTAGGTTATTGATCATCCCGTATAAATATAATGGTCTAGACACTAGAAAATTAGAAAAGATTCGAGGTACTGGTGCAAAGAATGTCATACATGTTTATGTCCGGCTCCGTGTTTCGAGATCTACCACACTTCCAGATAAATATTGACTGTAACCTACAAATGAAAAATGATATGTCAAACTTAATATCCTTTTGTGTATCTTACATTTGATGAATTGAATCTGTCTTAGATGGAGTTGAGGACGCGAAGTAGTTTTTGGTTACATATCTGCACGTAAACTCCTTTTGTGCGGAATCATTTGAATGTATGTCGTTATTTCAATTCAAATTGTATTTACTCATCTCCTCCTGTTATGTATAATTTCGTACTAATAAACATATAATATGAATTATGATAATATTGTTTATTTTGAATGGTTATGAAGAGTATTTTTTTTTCATGTTCTGGTTCCCACG